TGCATAACAAAATTAATAACGAAGGATAGTTCAAATAAAAGCAAACAAGATGCCATTATTATCATTATTATCAAAATATAAAACCATCAAATTGTGGCATTAACGAAAACTAAGCCAATAAAACTGTTTCATATGAAAAGTTTCAGTATCCTTTCATTGTGCCATCAAAAGCTTATATCTGGTAGTTAGTTAGTTATTAAATAACGCAAGCATATGGTTTGACGAAGCCTTAAACAGACACACGCATGTCAACCCCTATGCACTGTTATTGTATCAAATTGCCAAGCTCAAGTTCATGAAAATCAAATAACGGTAATAAAGCCGAAACATTTTTAGATACACATCCCTGCAGGAAATGTATCTAACTATAAGCTAATTTTAAATTGATTAGGAAGGAGCTAAAAGGCACTATTTTCGGTATATTTTCTTCTACGAAAGCGATGGTCGCGAAATAGTCTGTATTTGATGTATCTAACTTGTAGCTAACTACTTTTGGACATAAAATATAAATAGGAAAAACAATTTTTTTATATTTTATTTTTTTATTTTTTTATTTATTTTAATACATTTCATAATTGTTTCCATATTCTGCTGTAGGTTGTCCTATATTCGAACTCCGTCAGACTCAACTTTAAAATGATAATATAAAATTTCGATCTTCCTTTTATTTGTCCTCAATTCGAAAAAGTATTTGCGAAGTGCAGAATATTTAAAGAGAAGCGCAACTAGTTTCAAGTTAGCTTTTTGCAGCTAACTACAAGTTATACATTTTATTGAAATCCCGCAAAAAAGCTAACTGCAAATGGGTTACTTTTCATCAATTGGTAATTTTTTTTTGCAGGGCATGTACTCATACACATACATGCATACGCACAAATCTGAATAACCGAATGAAAACTTATCCTCTCTGCCTACATAAAATTCAATGATGTGTAAACAATAGCTGCAGCAAAAGGACTAAAAAGTTAGCAGAATACAAACATACATGCACGTACGTGGCATATCAAATTATTATTATCAAATGCGTAAACTAATACATACCGAACCATAACCAAGCAACTTAAGTTGGACGATTTAAGCTTTATAAATATTTTATTATATACCCATAAAGTCATTCTGGTTAATGTCTCTTCTTCGGCCTGTGCATTGTTTTCGAAGTTTAGTTATGAAAATTGAGACAGTTGCTTAGCTTCACTGCAGAGAATTGGCAACAATTTGTAATGTGGTTAGCTGATAAGTCTTATGATATGCTTTAGAAAAAAGGATTAGGAGCTTTGGAAAGTCCACACTCAAGTGACTTCCTGTTTTTGTTTATTATCCTAACAAATTCATTGTTTATTGCAAACTGCCTGTGGTCATTAAATATATTTCTATGTACATACATAAATTGTTGACCAGTGTTGACTTAAATCAAGTTTTAAAGAGGATATTGAATATAGGGAGCGAAAGCAAGTACGGTGGGGAAAGAGCGCAATGAAGAGTAACACATGGGAATATGAAATAAGCAAGCGAAGCAAGTTAAAAAAAAATATGTCTATCGGCGTGTGAAATTAGAACTTTTATTATAAGAAACCTTTGATAATAATTATCATTGAGATAAATATTTTTAAGTCTTAAAAGACTTGTATTTTGAGACTTATATTATAAAAGTCGTTTCATAATAATTATGAGTGCGAAAAAAAAAAATTAAGTCTTAAAAGTCGAGGCTTGTTCGGAACCATTTCGGGACTATTTGAGGAGTACTTTTTCCGAACTGAACCCCAACTAAACCCGAACTGGCCCCCAACTAGCCCTGAACTAATCCCGAAAGGGTCCGGAACTAATCCCGAAATGGTCCTGAACAAGCGCCGTCCTTTAATTAATTTAGTTAAATTTTTTCGCACTCATAATTGATATGAAAAGTTTTTTATAATAAAAGTCTCAAAACAAAAGTCTTTGAGGACTTAAAAATATTTATCGCGCTGATAATTACTAGGAAAAGGCTTTTATTACATAAGTCTTAAAATAACAGTTATCGATGACTTACAAAATTTTTCTCACACATAATTATTATCAAAAGACTTTTATAATTATTACAAAAATGTGGGTGACTTCTTTAAAACTCTACCATGAAATAATTATTATTCTGGGTCTCTGGTTTTTCCATCCCTTGGGAATAGGGCTGTTAATTGACATCAAAAGGATTTCAAATTAGCGTTTAAAATGTTAATAAACTAGTACCTTAAAAAAATGTATATTATTTAATTTTTCACCTCCAAATAATAGGTTTTCTCAAGGTCCCCTTCATTCATTCCTTTCTTACCAACAAGTCTCTTCTTTAGATTTGGAAACAGCTCGGACTTAATCCGGATTAACTGCAGCTAATTTTTTTTTTACTTATGACAAAGTTGGTGAGCATCTCATTTATATCAATCCAGCATGACACTCTGCCCGAACGTCCCCTTTCTCCAATACCCTTAAGCCCACAATTTGATTGTGCTGTATTTAGCAGCTGAATTACCGGTACTAAAAACATAATTGGTTCCACGATCCAGAGCCGGAGAGGGAGAGAAACTGAACAATCAAAAATGTATTTTTGTTACCTCTAAAAGAGGGTTATCGCAGTATTTAGAGTAGGAGTCTAATTTTCTTCGACCCTAGTCACTGAGAAGTGTGTTTTCAGGAGGATGTCTAATAACTTTCCGGCCGGCTCGGGCCACAAAGCGTATAATCTCATAATACTGGTTGGCTAACAGTGTCCTTTTCGAGGATTTTTCTGAGCTTTAAGATAGTGCGAGACCATACTTTATAACATTATTTAATCAACTTTCTTGCCTACTTTCCAAATTTTGTATATTCCTGTTTGTTCATCATCTCACCAAGTGGTGCGTGCTTTCTTAACCTTACGTTACGGGCCTGCTTTCGTAAAGGTCTTGCCGAAGGCCGTATTCAAACAGCTGGGAATATATAGCAAACACTTTCGCTGGGATATTCAGCTCAAAAAGTATAAGATGTTGATCTGAGAGGATCTCGTCTTCGGGTCGGATGGTCTTTAAGCCCCCTTGGTTAATAACGTTAAATGAATTATGCTTAGCCACAGAGCTCAGAAGTTCTAGAAAAGATTAAATAGGATGTTACCTTTATTAAAAGACCTGAATTTAGATCGAGCTTTAAATTGACTAGTTCCTGCCAGTCGACTTCTTGTGGCGAAGACGGTCTATCCTGTGCTAAGTATGCTGACAATATCTGGCAGTTGTGTCCATTATCAGCTCCGACTGGATGACGATTATAAGCGGTTAGCACAAGATGGAACATAAAAAGACTTACTTAGATCTCCTCTACATCAGCTTCGGGAATTTGCGCGTTAGAACCGAATATTTTAAGATTTGCTGTTCTCATTACGAATAACAGCTTTTTACCTATGCGGATTTCTTGGCTTTGTTGCTGTTGGAGACGCACCACTTTGTCGGTCTCCATTGTAATCTTCGTTAGGCAAAGAGGGCCCTGGATCTTCTAGGTACCTCTTCAGCAGGGATCACCTACCTAGGAAGTCTCCAGCGAAATATTTTCGAACACATTTTCATAAAGCTTTGACTCGATTTCGAGACACTCCTCTTGATCGGCCTTACCACTGCCTGTGACTTCATCGAAGAGCGTGACCTGAAGGTTGGTCCTCGTCACTTCGCAGTAACAACATTTCGTCAATTAAGCAAAAACTTTGACTTGAATTCGTTACATGGCGCTTGAATTGATTGAACTCCTTTTTTTGAAATTTAGGCTCTGGTAGCCACCAATTTGCTTAATGTCCAGTGGAAATCCGATATTCTATATTTGTGGAAGTACTCCCCATTTACTGACGTTACTTAGAAAAGTTTACGCTACACTCCTCCAATCACAAAATCTCAGATACTCAACCACTGAAATATTTGCAAAACTATTACAAAAGCTGCTCTGTAGTGCTAAAGAGTTGCTACGCAGTACCACCAAAACCCATAGAGCCACTTAAATGAAGTTAAAGACTTTGACAAGCCACAAAATTTGCCACCACTGAGAACCGCAGGCACGCAGGATGTCTAAAGACTACGAAATTTGTATATAAGAATGTATGTGTGTACGTGTTAACCAAACATAGCTACATATATACATTAGGGTGGTCCTTAAAAGTAGTTAGCAAATTTTTACATCAGATTTCCTAAGCCTCAACCACTACTTCGATGTTACTATAGGCGAAGATATCACATATATATTTTGGTCCCGATTGGAGACGGTTAAGGCTGGTCGCACAAAGGTCAAAGTTCAGATTACCCTATGACGGCGTCTTAACCGAGTTCAATCGTGACTAAAATTTATATGTGATATCTTCGACTTTAGTGGTATCGAGTTTGGGCATTAAATGAAAAAACATATTTTTAATTTTTTGAGTCCTTAAAGGCAGCAGGCCTTTGACCACTTTGCGACACGCCTTAAAGGACTCCAATCGGGACCAAAATTTATATGTGAAGGCGTGACACTGAAAAAAATCGTTCATTTGACCACCCTAATGTGCATACATACATATGTACGCACAAATTTTCGTTGAAAACATTATATTTTTGTTGTTGCCTTGCTTAAATCCGTTGTCTGCTGTTGTTATTTCACATTTTCTTCTCCCATTGTTGTGCGACTTCATCTTCTTGGTAAAATTGAAGCATTGTTTTGAAAATTTGCAAGTACTTAAAAGAGTTTAAAAAGTTTTGTAACACGACTTAGAGAAAAGAAAAAGGTAAACTGCTCGTTTATGCGTCTGAATGCTTCGTATTTTGCGCACTGAAGTTTGATGGCGCTTAAGTTTGGACAAATTATTTACAACACAAAATTTTTTAACAACTTTTTGTTTTTTGCCAATAACATAAGTAAAGGGTGTAATATTTGCATTAAGAGACTTATTAGTTTTGAAAATTCTTGCATATCTTGCAAATTCTTACAACATGCATTAATTTATATTCTTTTCAAAATTTTTTCTCTCTTTTCTTTGCAGCTCGTTCAACATTACAAGGAATACGTAATAGTTGGGCACGCACCTAGGTAAATTTTTTGGGTAAATTCTCGCAGCCAAAATGCAGGACATACGTTTACGCGTCGAGCAGCCCATGTCGCATGTCTCGCCCACACAAGGACGACGTCCCATACACTTACTGCCACAAATTAGCTTAAGGCATGTTTGAGTGCTTTATATACATACATACGTATATATGTAATAGTTAACTAATTTACCCTCCACTCATACAGTTGCAATGAACCGCCTTTGGAAGCACACCACCACCTTCAACCCGGTCAACTGGCCGTGCCGCGCTCACCCAGCTCGGAGGAGGATAATTCACCAACGGAAATGAATAATTGCCGGCGCATGGCCGATAAACCGCCTTTGGTGAGTTGAACTAACCGATCTGATAAAATATTTCGAAAATTTAGTTATTGCACTTGTACAGTATGTACATATAGAAAATTGCTTTAAAAATCTCTGTGCATTAAATTTTGACGCTTTAATATCCACCCTAATGGCGATAGGCTTTATGCTTTCGATTGGTATACATATATGTGTATATAATTTGTTCATTAAACAAATGAGTGCAAAATTTAAAAAAAATATATATTTGAATACTTAATAACGGAGACAATATTCACTTGTATTTTGAAACATGCCTCGGTTTTATAAGCTGAGGTATTCGCAATCATCTAGACCATCGACTGCCATGTGGAAAATAAGTGGAGAAGTAGGAGTTGACGTATCTATAGAGAAAGCCATGCAGCACTCGATGCATTGGTCAGCCCTCTAGCTACTTCCAAACTAGTTTGCAATGCAAGTTTTGACTAAATTATGTTAGGAAACATAACGAACTTGTTTTACTCTGGGTCCGCAACCAGTTATAGCACTCCCCACTTCGGCCATCGAAGCCACCATCAGAAACTAGGACTGCCGGTAGGAAAACCCCCATTCCTAGGTATTTGCTTTCATTGAGCAGATGGGGCTGCAGGCAACTTGTGGGGCTGTTCCTTCCTGACTTGAAGCGGATGAGACGACGCAACAATATTTTTTCTGTGTTTAAATTCACACACCGGAGCTCTTTAACACCCAACAATCAGCTCCGATTGTAGATTCAAAACAAACATTAAAATGGATGGCATGTTGTATTAGTGCTTTTTTAAGGAAATGATAAGCGTGGTTTTCTTGCACCACGGGCCACCATATCAAAACACCATGGAGCATTTTTGTATTACAGACTGCTGTGTAGATCCATAGAATGCGTCGAGGGGAAGACCAAGCGTATTCCGGTTGAACCCTCTATTCCACATTCAATATCCGCAATGATCTACTGTCTATAATAATATCCTAGCTTAGGTGGAGAAGAGGATGTAATCTTTTACTTTCTTGTAATAAGTAGTTTCTCTGTTTGCCATAATCGCTGAACCTCACTCAGTTATCACAAGCCTCGGAGTGTGTTACCGTCATTAAAAGGGTTATCAATTAAACTATCTGCCGTTCGAGGCAGCATATAACAGTAGGTCCTTTGACCCAACCCCCCAGGGGACTCCGCCTAAGTGGAATTACGGGCTCGACAACCCCTTGGTACCCAGTCTAGGGCTGCCAGTTCTTGAGTCGAGTGGAGGCTTTCGAGGTCTGACGAGAGACTGTATTATGGTACCGCGGGGAACAGAATGCCCCGGAGTGTGTTCGCGAGCGAGACGAGCAAGACTAGCGAAACAAGCAAGGCCAACAAGGCAAGCACGATGAGCAAAATGTTGAGAAAGAAGTTGAAAGAAAGGTTGAAGAATGGCGTGGGAAAAGTGTGCAAGTTAAGCAACTCGAGCCGTTGAGAAAGTTGAGCGAGTCGAGAAATCACCCTTTGCCCCCGGAGTGGGCTCACGAGTAAGGCGAGCGAGACGAGCAAGGTGAGCAAAATGGTGAGAGATGAGAAGTGTGCAAGTCGAGCAAGTGCAAGTCAGGGCAAGTCAAGCGAGTGAGCATTACTCCAGTATCGTGGTGGTTGTGGTTTAACACCCAAATGTGGGTAAATAGAACCAGCAATGGTTCAATGTGGAGTTGCACTGCAACCGGGTGCCGAACCCATAGTACGGCAGAAATTTAGACGGACCTAGAACCCTGCCAAGGCGGTTAGTGTGTTCACCCCACACTGCCAGTTGGTACTGAAGTGCTTATATTTTAGGGCGCTGATCAAGGCATTTGAATTGATCTGTCGTACTCTTGTGCGCCGTGGAGTTAAGTCATCCTGGCAGGACGTACATAGCGAATTGAAGGAAATTTTTTCTTTTTTAATTAAAGCTCCTTAACATCAAAACTTTTTTGCACATTTAGGTCACACAAAAATTCTAAGGTAGCAAATTATATCTCAAACCGACGATTATCCTTGTAAAAAAACGAATGTATGTATGAATATAGTTCACTAAAGTCTTGAACGGCAACGAATTTGAGGACAAAAGATTTAAGCAAGCCAAACAAAAGAAGCGAAGTATTGCACTTCAGATGATTGTAGAAAGTATGTACATAGGTATGTGCAAATAGAAGTCCACAAGAAACAATGCCAAACGTTCATTGACTGCAGTTGAAGGTCGACCGAAGCTTTTTGGGGCTAAGGACGGACGTACTAAAATCCTAAGACTGAATACTAAGTTTGCAAGGCAGTTATTGAGCTTATTCAACCGTCTGGCAAATTACTTGTACGTATGTATGTATGTATGGTAAGTGCCCGTGCATTTGTGGCAGCAACAATCAGTCGCTTACGGGTATGTATGTACCTGCGCATGTGCAGACGTAGTAACACAGACTATTACGTACTGATTGTCTTGCCAGCAGCTGTTTTCATTTAGATTGCCATACAACCTTGTCAACCGGTAAGTAAGACATAAGAACAAACTAAGAAGAACAATGAAAGGAATGTAAGCGAACTCAAACAAGCAAAAAATCAAAAAACAAAGAAAAATCAAACTACAAAAGTTGGGCATACCGGCTCCTAAACTATGCAAGCGCCAGTCGCATTTAAAGTGCATTCAAATGTCCTTAAGAAGACTTATTTATGCACACATGCGATTTGGTGTGGGATGTTTAAACAAATGTACATACCTATGTATGAAGGCATGCACATTAGACCGTACCACCTTACAAGCAAACGAAAAAAATTCGTTGGGATCAAATTTCAAACTGCAGTGAAACGAAAAAACAGCAAAACGGAGGGGATGGCGGGGGCACAACCACGATTAAAGCTAAGATTTCGATTGAGATTCAGATTGAGGTTGAGGGTGAGGATGAGGCCGATATTGAGATAAAGATTAAGATTAATATTGAGATTAATATGTCTAGGATGAATATTAGACTAAGATTTATATTAAAACTAAGATTTAGATTGAGATTAAGATTAAGATAAGAGTTAAGATTAAGTTTAGGATTAAGATTATGAATAAGATTAAGATTAAGTTAATAATTAAGTTTAGGATCAAGGTTAATTAAAGATTAATATTAAGGTTAATAAAAGATTAAGATAATGATTAAAATTAAGGTTACGACCAGGATTAAGATTGATATTAAGATTAAGATTAAGCTTACGATCAGGATTAAGACTAAAATTAAGATTATGAATAAGATTAAGTTCAAGATTAAGGTTATGATTAAGATTAAGATGAAGATTTATATTAAGATCAAGATTATGATTAAGATTATGATTATGATTAAGATTAAGATTAAGATTGCTATTAAGATTAAGATTAAGTGTAAGACTAGGATTAGAATTAAGGTTGCCATTCAGATTAAGATTAAGATTAAAATTAACATTTAGATTAAGACTGGGGTTAAGATTAAGATGACTATTAGGATTAAGATTACGATTAGGATTAAGATTAATATTTAGACTAAGATTAAGAATTTTAGGAAAAAATAATTGTCTCTTCCAAGACAAAACATCGAGAAATCTTAATTTAAAATCCGACTGTAATTGGCGAAGATATGACGAAAAAAAAATTAAAAGGCGTCTCCACGTTCAGCCAATCAAAAATAAAAAAAAAAACATTCGTTTTGTCTTACAAAATACCTTAGACTCGGGATGGCGAACTTTTTTTCTGATACAGCCTAATGCACATACATACAATCTCTGACTGCGCTTAAAGTTGCCGGAAGTTACTTCTCTTTAAATTTAATTTATTTTGGCCAGATCTCAAATAAATGACTGCTGACTTTGTTTGCACACTCACAAGTAGCCCCAGTATTCTAAGCCACTCTACCTGCACACCAAGTGGCTAATATCAGCTTTATTTTCGAAATAGGGGAAAAATTCACTGCACACTCGACAAGCCAGCACGTTGCATCTTCCTTTGTCCCGTTGTCTGTGCGCTTTGAGTTTACTAGCATTTTTGCCATTGCCGACAAGAAAAAGGCGTCACACAATGCCATTCACATTCACATTCACAAGTTCGCATTCGCATTCCAATTCAAAAATTCACATCTGTATTGTTCTCGGCTTCTTGCTGCACTCTGACAATGTGCAGGCCTGCCGCAATGCACTTACTGCTTTTTTTCTGCTTTTCTGTGTTTTCTGCGCCGCGTGTCATTTACAGGCGTGAAATTTAATTCTACTAACTCGCATTTCTAGGCTTTTGTTTTGTTTGTTCGCAAAGTTTTTCGATTGTGTCTCTGGTTAAGCATTTTTTTACAACACTTTTATCGCCGAGATTTATGTGTGTCATAAAGTTAGTAAGTTTCTCTGCGAAATCTGTATGCTGGTTAGTAGACAGTTACATATGTATGTATGTACACGAGTGCCTGCTGTGTAATTGAATGTGAAAAACTATAAGAAAAGTTTACGCCAGTAGTGTTGAAATTTGGGGTATTGCCTTCCGCGCTACTAGCACATCCCTACAGTTGACATACATACATACGTAATGCATGATAAAGCACTTTTGTTTATATGTAGGAGCAATTTTCTAGTGTGAATGCACTCGAGCGCGAATTGTGAAAAGTTGGTTGGAATTGTTTTTCAGCGATTTAACAGTTTTAATGTGTATCATTAATTTTTGATTTGAATTTGGTGTCGTTTTAACAAACTTGCTTTGGAGATATTAAAAATTGTGTGTGCGTTGCAATTGTTTTTTTTTTTTTTTGTGAAAATCACTTTTGAGTTGGGAAAGGAACTATAGCAGGCTAAGCACATACATATGTATCTCAATGTATTATGCACAAATACAGGGCAGTTCTGGCAATTCTCTTTCAACTCAACACAGTCCTTCTAATGCCAAATTAAAAGAAAATTAAAAAAAAAATTAAGAAAGAAAATTAAATAAAAACAAAAAAGGCAATCAATAAACAAGTTTAAATTAAAAATATATATTTTTCTTTTGAAACAATAAAATCTATAAATTAAA